TTTAGCCAATCTTTGTCTCGGTTGTTTCTCTCTTCTCTGTTAATTGGATGAGTGCTGCGTTGTTGTTCTATTTTTCATTCCTTTTAGTAGGATTTTATTGTTCCGTATTTGACTGTTGGGATTCTTATATTCTGTAAAGCACTTTGTGATGTTGGTTTTGATAAGTGCTTTATAAATAAACATTATTATTATTATTATTATTATTATTACGTATTTGACCTACAAGTGCATCACATAACTCAGAGATTGCAGAACACAGGAGCTGCATCAGGACCTAGAACCAAAGTAGCCCAATGGTGGTGATTTTTAGAGAAGCCAATCACCCGGTTTCTTCCCTGAGATGAGATATATAAACATCGAGCACATAAACCCCACCTGAGAAGAGGAGACAGTGTGAACACCTTCTTACCTAAACAGAGAGTTTTTTTATATTCACTGTCCAGACATTAACGCCTAAATACCTCAATCAAGAGGACGACATGAACAACTGTCTCTAACATCTTTGAAGAAGTAAAAAAATATTGAAACATGAAAGGTGAGGTTTGTTCAAATCTATGTTTATAATAAAACATTTGTTTCACCTAAACACACTCTGTATTGTACATCAATATAAAAATAAAAATTATAAAACATGAAACATTTTAAAAACTTCAATTGAACAGAACCAACAGATGTGGTTCCTCTGTTCTGCCTTTGTCATTGTGTCTTTGTAATGCTGTATGTTTTGGACCTGTCCATGATATCTGTGATTCTGATGTTTTGAAAAATGATTTATTTTTCTCTACGCTTATATAATTCGATGTCAGTTTTTTTTTTTTTTTGCTATGTACTATATTTGTGCTTCCCATTTAACCTCTGTTGTATTTGTAACTTGCAGTACACACCTACCATCACAGTGCTTGTCAGCCCATTGGTGTGCACCTCTATATACAGTATGAGGGAGTGAACCCCAAAAAAAAAAACGATCACCTGAAGAAAACCTCTGGTCGTGACGTCATGATATAACAAAGTAATTTTGAGTAGACTTCACGATTACGTCACAGCAGGGCTGGCAGAAAAACAGAAACACGGAGAAGCTGAACTCATAGTGATTTTTGTTCAATACATTGATTGATTAATAAAATAATGAATAAAGAGTTTATCCTAACCCAGCCATACAATTGCAGTTCTCCATCAGGATGTATTTTTAATAGCCCACATCGTCTTGAATAGCTGCGTTTAAGTCTTTCCTGCTGCCTGGCAGTACGTACATGCACATTATTATTTGTTTTAGTTCAGTTTAGTTTATTTGCACATTTTTTGAAAGAGGAGTCAAACAGAAAAATAAAACAAATTAAAAATTAAAACACATGTGCAGGTGAGGTAGAAACCCATGAGGGCTTATCTCAAAACCTCACCTTAAGAGATTAAACAAAGTTAAAATAAAATACAGTAAAAATAACAAAGTAAGAATATTAACTATCACAAATAAAATGTACCCAATTGAAAATTACATACAAAAACTGAAAACATAAAAATAGAGCAAAACAGGACATACAGTATGTAGACAATATAACAAAATCAAAATAATTATTTGTTCTCACAACATATTGTTTTACAGCCTGGTCTCTCTTTAAAAGGGCAGTCAACATTTTGGAGAGGAAACCTCATCATTTTTCACTTTTACAATATCACTATTAAGTATAACACTTTACACTTGGACTTTATTGGGTAGGGTGAGATTCAAGCATATAAAGATCTGTATTATTGTATAGAAATCTTAGTATTTGTATGTGTCCTGCATGAGCATTAAGTAATTGTATGCATCAAGAGATTAGTATGCCTTGAGTTTTCTTTTTGTTTTCTGGCTTTTTGTGCCTTTAATTGAGAGACAGGACAGTGGATAGAGTCAGAAATGGGGGAGAGAGGAGTGGGGAATGACATGCAGGAAATAAGCCACAAGTGGGATTTGAACCTGGGTGGCCTGCTTGGTGGACTACAGCTTCCACACATGGGGCGCGCGCATTAACCACTGTGCCACCAGTGCCCTGCCTTGAGTATTCTTTAGTATAGATGCTGAGTTTTTTCGCAACATATAGGAACATGATGGTGTCTCAGTTTAACTGGTGTTACCCCGGCAGATGTTCAGCAGGAGTGGCTTTTGTTTTCCCGATTATAACCCCACAACATTGATGGCATGTCGACCAAAAGTCTATAAACCGTGGCCTTTATGTCACACCTCTATGTTTATGTCACAAGTTAACACAGTGAGCACTCTACTTTCAAGCTGTTTGAACACATCCGCCCTACACTGTGTCTGTCTCTCAACTGGAAGGATGGGGGTTCGAACCCCAGCTCCTGCAACAACATGTCTGATGTCTCAAGACACTTAACCCTGAATTGCTCACGCGGCGTATGAGTGTGTATGAATGTGATTAGTTACTTCTGATGGTCTCTTTACATAGAAAGAACTGCCATCAGTGTGTGAATGGGTAGGTGTGACCTGCGGTGTAAAAAGCGCTTTCAGTAGTCAGAAGACAGGAAAGACCTATACAAGCCATTTACCATTTTCCAAACACTAGCACATCTATCAGATGTGTAAAGACAAAGATACTTGTTTATAATATTTGACTTAACAATATAAGATGACTTGCCAAACAATTAAAATCATTAGAGAAGACATCCAGAACGTGAATTGACAGTAAACTATACCGCTAACATTCTGTCACCAGCTTCACTGTGAACAAACACCAAAAAAACTTGTTAAAAACCTTTAGTGGCATCGAGTGTGTGGGCCTATCTTACAAAGCCACAAAATATAATCTGAATGTGAACAAATATATACGTGAGTACAATCAAAAATATTTTGTGTGGGTTCGGTTGTTGTCACAGAGGCTCCACCTCCACCTCCTCCTCCTCCTCCTCCTCCTCCTCCTCCTCCTCCTCCTCCTGCTGTAATCTGATGCCACCGTTTCATTCAGAGCTCTTCTGTGCTGCGGCCGGCTGGACGGCTGCATTTGTCACCACAGCTTTTCATGTCACCACTCACCACCTGCTCCCCACATTCCTCTACATTCTCTCAAAAGACCTCGCTCCCTCCTCCTCCTCCTCCTCCTCCTCTCCCTCCTGCTCTTCCTCCTCATCTCTCCCTTCTCTGATTATCATTCTTCTAACTCCCTTACCCTCTCTCCTCATCCTCGTCCTCTCCACTTCTCGATCGATTCATTCCTTTTTTCCCCTTTCTTTGGATTTCTTCATTTGATAATTGTTCTCTCTCTGTCTGTCACTTTGATTTCTTTCTCTGACTTTAAGAGGGTACAAGTCGTGCTGAAACACTCGTCTGAATGCAGGCTGGCGCTGTCACCCCTCTTTCTTCCCCCTCTCCTCCCCCTGCCCCCCTGCTCCCCTCTTTCTCTTTTCTCTACTTTGCCTTCAGAAGCTGCCGACTACAAGACAGCGTTCACCTGCTGCTTGACACTGCATAAACCAGCTGCTACTGTACCACACACACACACACACACACACACACACACACACACACACATACACACACACACAGACACACACACACACACACACACACACACACAGACACACACACACACACACACAGACACACACACACACACACACACACACACACACACACACACACACACACACACACACACACACACACACACACTGTCCTGTTTGAGTTTGGATCCAGAATGGAAAGCAGGCCGGCTGACAAAAGCTGGAAAAGTCCCTCCAGTCCTCTCTGGTACCTCCTGATGCTATTGTTGTTGTTGTTGTTGTTGTTGTGTGTGCATATTTGTGTGAGGACTGGGGAGTTTAAAATACCACCCACTCCAGTAGATCTTAACATAAAGACACGTACAGTCTGATCATTTATTCATGACAATCTGAGGCCCAACACAGAAAGAGGTTTTACATTTCAGCGTGACCTCAACTTCATCAGATTGTAAAATATCGCTGCTCTTCTGTTTATATTACATGAAAACTAAAGGCTTTATCAAAATTAATTTATTGCTGCCAGGAATAGATGGACAGAAAAAGTCATACTTTGTTATTTCTTGTTATTTTAACTTTCAGTTTTTCAATAAACAAAGAAATTAAACCTCTTATTAAGCCCCCTGTCTGTGTAAAAAAAAAAAAAAGGACACCTTACATGAAACAACATCCTGAGGTAAGAGGTCTCAGAAGGCAAGACATGATGTAAAACAGATGACACCGAAGTGTCATATGAAGAAGGATTATATGATTTGATTCATAGAGCAAGCTGGTTTTATGACCTATACTGCAGCCAGTCAGCAGGGGGAGCTCTAAATATTTCAACCTCACTTCCAGATTGCCCTAACTTTGTCCATCTTAATAACACACTGAAGTTCATTTTTTACAGAGTTGAAAGGAGAATAACATGAATGAGCAGAAACATGTAGAGAAAAGTCACAGATTTTTTATTTTTATCCATATACAGGACATGTAAAAAACATTTTTTACAATGCTCTGGAAAAAAGCAACAACACATTTCTCTGTAAGCTTGAAACCACTTCATGAGAGTACAAACCTGGGACAGGTATTAGATTAGTCTTCCAGCTGATAATTTGCTTTTTGAGGTCACATCAGTAATGTCATTATTAGTTGGTTTCTTAATCTACTTCAAACTCCTCGCAGGAAATTTCATTGAATTTTATCACAAGTGGATTAAGGCAAGAGAAGAAATCATTTTTTAAGGGTCACACTCTTCTAAACTTCAGCTTTTGGCAGACATGAAGGTCGTCAGTGTTGCTGCTGCCTCCTGATGTTAGACTTGAGTACTGCACCGTCTTGTCAACCTCACAGGATGACCAGATTGTTCATTCTGAAGAGGCAAACCAAACCAGCTATGATGTTAAAGTTGGCAGGTCAGGCTTTAGACAGTCATTGTTGTTCTGTTCATTTCCTTTAAAAAAAAAAAATAGCAAAAAAATCTGATTGTTGTCTTTCAAAGAGTTTTTTTTTTTTTTAAACCACTGGATCCTCACTTCAGTTTCATAAAAACATTGTTCAGCACAGCTCCTCTCTCCTCCTCCTCCTCCTCCTCCTCCTCCTGTTGTGTTGTGCAGCCCGGGTCCAGACCCTGCAGGTCCTACAGTCCACAGACTGAGTTCACTGTTGGTCTGTTATCACTCTGAAAGTCACTCTCCAACCCTGACAACAAATCCACTGCAGATCAACCACTCACTGCCGCAGAGGTCGGCTCAGTTCCTGTCCTCTATCTTCATCATCATCATCATCACCATGAGCAGGAGGGATTCAGAAAGACGTCCCCTCAGCGGTTTTGATGTAGTTCTTGAAGTCAGCAGGGACATTCATCATGGAGCACACCTGGAGGACAGAAGAGAGGTCAGCACACCTGCTGATGTTTCTGTTCTGATGCAACATCAGAGAAATGTTTCTCTTCAGATAAAGCAATGTGTCTGCCATTACAACACAGTGCAATTAGGATTAGAATTTTGCTCAAGATCATTTTCAACAGACTTGTGTAAACAACAATTCTCACATATGAAATGAGCAACTCCCTGCAACCTGAATGTTCCATTTTTTAAGCCCCATAAATGTTACATAATGACATCATCAATTGGCGCTTATAGACTGCCATTTGAACGAGCTAGTGATGTGTAATGTTTAGGTCGGCTAGGTGGAACAGTGCTGTGTGTTTGCATGTCTAAAGTGTGTGTGTGTGTGTGTGTGTGTGTGTGTGTGTGATACCAGTATTACGTCGCTGTGGATGCAATATGTCAGTACAAAGGCGAAACCTTTGTTATGGCACTGTTGCAGAATCACAATGTGTGAAGGTTTTTTCAGATTTTTCAGATATAACATCAGAGAAAGAGTTTGTATCTCAGTGTGATGTCATTCATTTAAAAACTGAAAATGCTTCAAATCCCAAACATCTGTAAAATGTCAAGGTATCGTCAGTTATGTTAGAGCTGTGTTATTGGCAAAGATCTAAAGAATTAGTTGAATTTACAGAGCACAGACCTTTATAGAATTAAACTAATAAAGTTAAACTGCACGAATATATCAACAAACACAATATATGCTGAAGCTGAAGATAGATGTTAAAACTTTCTGTTGCAAAGAGAAGTGGATGCTCCTGCTATAGTGGTTGTTCTTTTGATCAATAAAACAGGATTATGTAAACAATGATGGTGGTTCAGTGACGTATATCTGAGCCACGGGGAGTATCTGTAAACAAAGAGACCAGCAGCTGGAGTGGATTCAGCTTGAAGTTCAGGTAAACCTGTACCTGTCTGAACTTGGCCCGCAGTCTCTCCACATCCTCCTGTATCTTCGCAGACGCAGGGTCATCCTGAGGGGACTTCTGGATCAAACCCAGCAGAGCCTCCACGGCCTTCAGACGCTTCCTGAGACACACACAGACGCACATGCGCGCACACACAATAAATAATAATAATAACAATAAGAAAAAATTAATGAGAAAAAAATAAAATAAATAATAATAACAATAATAATAATAATAATTATTATTAAAAAATAAAAAATAAAATAATAAAATAAAATATGATATTTCCTTGCTAGGCTGAAAGGGTACACAGTGTTAAGTAAATTCTGTGTGAGCTGTTGGAAGAAAACTAAAAACAGTTCAATCAAACACTGATGTAGACTGTGATCATACCTGGATTTCACATCTGTGTTATGTTGGAGGAGACATTTCCATGTGATGGCAAACCCGTAGTAGAAGGAAATCTGTAGGTGGATAGAGACGGACAGACAAGAACGTTAAACACACCTGAAAAGATTATTATATTCCTGTGTAAACATTAAGCTAAAAAGCAGATGAACTCTGTGAAACTATGTTGGTATTACAGTGATGGTAATGTTGACACTCTGAGACACTCTCTCTCACTTTCTGCTGGTGTATGTATTTGATCATTTCTGATTGTCTTTAAGTTTTTACCCTCCTCTGACTCACATGTCACACATTCAGGTGTGAAGAGATTGTTCCAATGTTGAAGCTCTGCAATTTGCTTCACACTCATGATTAAAGATTGTTTCTTAAAAAGGTGTGATGTCGTGTATAATGTCAATAAACACGGAATGTGAGGATGTGCAAAACCCTGAAACCCCACATTTGATTGAAAACAGCACAAAGACAAAATGTTGAAACTCAGAAACAGAGACATTGTTTTTGGAAATGTTTATGCCCAATTTGAATTTGATTTTTGGGAAAACGCCCCTTTCTTTGGGCTCATTTAAGACGTACTAGGGCAAAGTGGAAAACTGTCCTGAGGTCTGATGAGTAAAATGACAGAACCTGGTCTCCTCAGTTAAAAAAAAACTGCTTACATAGTGTTGTTATAAGAACAAGTTGTGCAACCAAGAGGTTAACATGACCCTGAGTAAGTTGCAAGCGGCAACCTCAAGTGCAAAATCCTACAGTTCCTCGAGTGTCCGCTTGAGGCTGACTCCGGCTCTCAGCCTATCATAAGGCTGACTGAAAGTTAGGCTGACGTCACTCAGGCTTCGTGCATTCATATAGTCCATAGTTTTGTTGCTGGCATCCAATAAAAAAATCAGCTCATAAAAATCCCCCAAAAATGAAATTCCTCATTTTCAACATTTGTTTTCTTTGTACCAATTTTCCGTTTTTATTTACATTTCAAACAATGTCTTTGGTTTGTTGTTTGTGCTTCTCTCTCTCTCTCTCACTCACTCTCTCTGAGTCCAGATCTCTGCAGCCTCAATAACAAACTTCTTCATTTGATCATGTAATAAATTGATAAAGTTGCTTCCTTCATCAATCATACTGAAGTGTTCATCTTCATATTGTATGCGTTCCTTACATATGTTAATAATTCTCACTTAAGCTAAAAAATCAAACTCTTTCTCCCTCATACCTCTTCTTCTTTAGGGCTTGCTTCCTGATAGAACTGCTTGTTTCTGCCATCTGATCTGGAAACCCTGTCACAGCCTGATCCCAGCACTGACTTACCTCAGAGGATAGTTTGGCCCCATGAGAGGTCCCGTGTCTGCGGCCGTCCAGCAGCCCTCTGCGGCTCCCCTTCTCGAAGCCCTCCCGGTACCCCTCACCACGAAACCTCAAACACACACACATATCATTTATTTATTTAAAGAGTTTTGTAACCTGTGTTATGATTAAGAGAGAGACCATTTTCTAGAGATTTTCAGCAGCATGCCTCTGAGGTTGTCGTAGTTACGACAATTGTTAGACCGTTTTATTTATTTCTTACTGTCAATATGAAATGTCAACAATACTCACCAGATATTTCTCTATTGAAGAGATAACAAAGCGGCATACATTTACACTAAATAAAACATTTTACGTCTTCATCATCTGCTGTTACTACGACAACCAGAGAGTCCCCAGTTATCGTGGTCTCTCTTGAAACAGGCCATATCGATAGAGATCATCTAAAAATATATAATATAAAGCCTACAGATAATTACAGGTAGGCCTAGATGCGTTTAAGTCTAACAGAGAAGTAACATTACTGATGTAAACAAACAGAAAATTCACCTTTCATCCGCCATGACAATACTGTCGAACAGATCTTCACTTCCGGAGCCACTGGCCATCTCCTCCTCTCTAACAAAACGTTTTATTTCTAAAAATAAAGGTACTTTATTTAACTCTCCGGTAAAGTTAAACACGCAACTGCTGCTTATCAATGCTAAAAGTTAACTGGGACGGTTTCCATCAGTTTCCAGCAGGTTCACTTGCCGACGCTGCTTCCTCCCTGTTTCACTGCGGTGCTGCCCCCTACAGGTGTGGGTGATGAACTGTCACAGTTTCTGAATACTAACAGTGGTGGGAAATATGAAAAAAGAAATTGCCGCAATGCTGCGAGAATGTACATTTTTGTTCCTTGTTTAAAAAATCCATGTATTTTTTGGTCATAACTGTGTGTTTATGCTCAGTCACAGTAATTAAAATATACTAACAGAGACATCCGATGAAGCTAATTTCAGAGGAGCGCTATTGTGGAGAATTAAAAAGATGAAGTACAAGTTATAATATTTATAATAATGATAAATATGAATGTATAAAGTTGACAAAATAAATTGAATCTTGAAAGCTCTACTGGGTAACAAATAAAAGTAAAGGTCTATTCCGAAATCATTTGGTATACTCCAATTAAACAAGTTTGATAGGCTATTGAGAAAATGATTAATCTTCTTAAAAATTTATTTAGTTATAAATATTAAAAAGGTACTCACAAATATTTGATTAAGTTTTATTGAAAAAAAAGAACAAGAATGTGAAAAAAATCAATATTGCTATTAAATCATATTTTGAATGTAGTTTCTATTAAATTCCCTAAATATTTTATGGAAGCCCTAAGCAGATATACTGCCATACTGTGAAATAACCTATAAAATACATTTTGGTTATTTTATAAAGAACATGACTTCTTGACATGAAAACAACACTGGATTTCCTGAGAACATGAGTAAATATGTCCTAGTAAATAAATTATCCAGTTTATTTAATGATTAACACAATATTTCCACATTTATTTTTCTCTTTTTCTATTACTTTATAGTTTATGAAAAATCCATGCACAAAGTTTTTTTGTTTTTTTAACAACCCATAATCAAGATTTAAACAAACAAAATGAAAAAGATCACTCTGAGAAATCTGTCATGGTTTCTTCATTAAAATACAGTAACTTTTCTCTTGAAGAAGCCCCACACATTTGCAGAAAAGACTCGTAAATCACTGCATGTGACAAAGGCATATTTTTCATGTGTGTTTCTCTGCTTATTTCCACAAGTGGAAGAGCAAAATTGTTATTTTGAATTCATTGTTCATGTTATTTCCAAGTTATGTTATGCTTGTTTCTGAAAATACTCTTACATCAACTCTGACTCAACACATTTTCAATATTTAATCAGAACCAAGACTAAAACTGGATCACATGATCAAATCTATCAAAAAGCACATATTTTATTTCATCGTTCAGTTTGGCAAATGCTCTGTCCTTGTCTTCATCTACAGATTTGAGGTCTGCATTCAGCTTAGCAGCATAGATTAGTTTCTGGACTTTCTGGAGAGTCCTACAGCAGGGTGCGCTGTTTTTCATATTTATCTCAGGTGTCAGACACAAACAGTCCTAAACAGATCTAAGTCCAGAGATGATGTTTCCAGGAAAGAGAAGGTGTCATGTCCCAGAGGAGTTTTTTGTATCCCCTGTAACAGCTGTGAAAACACAGCTGGATGTTTGGTTATCTTTAGAACAGTAACACAGATCAACACTGACGTCCCTCAGCGGAGACACATGGACACATTTAGGAGACAGTCACTCGTCTGAACCATCTCAGCTCATCACTAACACAACTCATTTACTGGCAGTTTCCTCAACATCTGTCATTTCTTTTCATAGTTTTGGTTGTCCGCTAAATTACTAACAAAGGGGGCATTACCCTCCTAAATGAATGCAAAAAAATTTGAGGTAGTGCACAGAGTCTTTGTTCGCCCGGTGGAGCGGTATTTTGTAAATTAGACTGTGCCTTTTTGAATCATTTCTGTGGAAAAGCTGTGCAATCATTTGTGAATCAGGCCCTCAGTGTTATTGTTGACACCGTTTAAATCCCTGTCAAAGATCTGTTTGGTGTTTCTTTACAGGAAACCAATAAAATACAGAATCAAATCACAAATCAGCTTCCAAATTAATATTACACTTACTATGAATTATGTTAGAAAGCTCAAACAAAATATCATGAATCAAGAATTCAACCCTAAAAAAAAAGAAGAGTATACTGTCAAATGAAGCCTAAATGTCAAAATCCATATTTTTCTCTCTCACTCTTGCTGTGTGAATGTGTTGTGTTTTATGTCTTGTGTTGCTGTGGAGCGCACACACATGGAATCACAACCTCTGGCAGGACTCCAGAGAAGCACAGCTGTGCCAATGGCAGCTGCACTGTTTGTATGCACCGAGAGTTTCTGTGGAAGTCCTTTTGTTTTGAGTTTAAAAGAAGCAGGAGAACCTGATCGTTCTATCAAAGATGAAAGTTTCCTGACTAGACAGAGAAAGTGTAAAAGGATCCATTGACCTGAATGATTGTTTATCAGATCTGTGAAAGTACAGTACATATCATACAAAGGTCAGAGATCTTCAAAACCTAACAACATGTTTATAAAAAGCTTTCACTTTCAAGAGACACTGCTGGCCAGACTCCAACAGATAACAGACTACAGCCTCCATGATCCTGCTGCAGCGTCTACCTCTGCAGAGTACGGGGTCGGTTAGTGATGAGTCTCAGGGTTCACCATATTGAGCGTTCCACATCACAGGGTTACTGCAGTTTGTGTTGTCTTTATGTATCTGCTGATATCACTGGTGCCCTGTATGAAGATCCAATAATATCCTGGGTACTGCAACGCCCTCCTCCTGTTTTTTCTGTGTTTTCTTTACCACACTAGAGGCGTGTGAAGACAAGTAAACGTTCCTCGGGATGTTGATCCCCACTAACCAAACATTCTTTCAAACTGGAGCAGCCATCCAAACTCTTGTAGAGAGTTTGGCTTTTCTTTTTTAAGAAACCAACAATAAGGTTTGTAAATCATTTGCTAAATGGTCGCTCTGTTTGTTTACTACAGGCCACCGTAACAAGTGTGTGTTTATTCTGATCAGCGTCACTAGAGTGCACAGTTATTACAGGTCATGCTAAAATAAAATGAACCAGTGGTCATTAATATTGTCACACTCATTCACACTCATGCACTGGATGCAACAAAGACAAGTCAACAGGGTGTTTTCACACATGCACAAAACTTGTGCAGTTTTGTGCCAATGTTCCTCACAAGAGCTTTTAGAGGAAACCCTCCTCTGCGTGTAGAGATATTTATAATCGGAACTGGTGATGACAGATGTCAGAAACCTGAACTATTAAAGATTTTGAGCTTCATGATATTTATGCGGCCTGATGGTATGTTTTTTAGGTCACACATGTAACTGAGCCCGGTCTCCTTACATGACCACAGTGAACCTCAGGAACCTCAGCCTGTGTGTCACAAAGGTTATCTGAGAGACAGAACTTCAAAAGAATCATCCCTCTCTGCGTCATCAGGAGGCCCAGAGAGCATGGATGCTGCTCTGATCATTTTAAAAATATGATGTGACACCTCACCTCCCACCCACCTGCAGCCTCAGGTGAAGGACGACGTCGTGATAGGCTGAGTAAACACAAACATGAAGAGATGACATAAATGTCTTCAGAAATTACTGAGTGCACACACACACACACACACACACACACACACACACACACACACACTTACACCTGGACAGTTGTGGAGGTGCTTCACAAACATGCCCACACAGTCGATCTGTGGCACACTGCTGCAGGGACGTGTGTGTGTGTGTGTGTGTGTGTGTGTGTGTGTGTGTGTGTGTGTGTGTGCGTGCAGCTGTGTGTGCAGCTGTGTTTGTCATTCAGGAAAGTGTTGCTGACCTGCTGCAGATCCTGGTCATATTTAAAACAAGTCTTAATTTATTTTGCAAGTCAAGCTTTTCCAGTCTTTACGTTACTGCTAAACCAACTCATTTTAAGACTGGCTCAAACATGACAGTACATCCTCGGGTGTTGGTGGACCTGTACTAACGGCTGTTGTCATTTAATATACAGATAGTTGGATTCACCTAATTGTCTGTCCCAACAGTGTCAGAAATTCTCCTTTGAAGTTGGCAGCCAGTGTCAGTGTCCGATCTATGACTTCTCTCCTGCATGTCATTCCCCGCTCTCTCTCTCTCTCTCTCCATGATTCCCAATCTCTCCCCTACCTCTCACATAAAGTCATAAAAGCCCAATATTTAATCTAAAAAAAAACAACTGAATCACCCTGTGTAATCATGTGAAGCTCACAGAAATATTTCTTTGTGGATATAAAAAATCTCAAATTTGTATAACCTGACAGCAAGCAAATAGTCAAATACACTGACAATAAACGTGATCCTGCATGTGGCTTTGTCTGATATATCACGTCACCCAGGCTAAATAACAGGTTTGGATGACTTACTTTTGTGTCCTCCCACCTACCTATGTCATAAACAGACATGGACAAAGCCTCTTGGTTTCAAAGGTGAAGAAGAACGCTGAAATGCCTTAACATGTATTCTTAGTGACGGCCAGCAGAGGTCAGCGTAAGTGTATGATTAAATATTTCTACTTGTCAGTCGCTTTTCAGTAGTCTCTCAGTTAACATCTTCTGAATGAGCTCAAGATCTTCTTCAATACAGCATGATGTTCCTTTATTTTTTTAATTTACATACTTTATTTCTGGTTTACACTCTATTATTGAGAGACATGCTTCTCACACACATAGGAAATAAAAGAAATACACACAGTTGGTAGAGTCGTCGTCTCTCAACCGGAAGGTCGAGGGTTCGATCCCCAGCTCCTGCAGCAACATGTCCGATGTGTCCTTGGGCAAGACACTTAACCCCAAGTTGCTCCTGCTGTTTGCATATTGGATTAGGTCATTTTGATGGTCTCACTACACAGCAGCCTCTGCCATCAGTATGTGAATAGGTGTGACCTGCGGTTAAAAAGCGCTTTGAGTAGTCAGAAGACTAGAAAAACACTGTACAAGCTCAAGGCCATTTACATGCAGAAACAGAATCTATGCATTATTGGAGAGATGTCAGAGTGGGACTGCTACGCAGGGAGCATGACAGAGCTGTTGGTGGTTCTGGCACCTCTCCAGCTCCAGACCAACTTCCATATGACGATCCTCCGGTTCC